CCCAATGCCTTCATTTCCCATGCAGCCTGGGTAGTCTCTCTGCTTACGGACTTTGGCATTCAAGTCTCCCATCAGAAGGATTACATCATGTTTGGGAACCTTGTTTAAAATGCCCTGCAACTGATTGTAGAAGTTGTCCTTATCTTCATCTGTATACTCGTTTGTTGGTGCGTATACCTGGATGATAGTTAGGTTTGTGTACTTTGACTTAAGTCTGGCTCTGATGATTCGTTGATCAATCCCAATCAATTAGTGTGCTGTTTTTTCTATCATGATTGCGACGCCTTCTCTGTGGTTGTCACCTGCCCTTCCAGAGTAATAAATAGTTTCCTCCGATAGAATAGTGATGCTTCCTGTACCATTTCATCTGCATTCGCTTAATCCTAGTATAGAAATATTATACATTGCTCTTTCTTTTGTAACATGTGCAGTCTTTCCAGTCTGATAAAGTGTTCTGACATTCCGAAAAACTTTAAGACCATGTATGGAAGAGAGAGAAGGGTATTCATCGAGCTGGAAGCTTCCCGAGGGCTTTCACTTGCAGCTGACATCCTTAGTGTTGTTGCACTGATACTGTTCTGCCTGTCCCGAATTTTAGTTATCAAATTATTTGTATACGTTTCTGTAGACGGTTTATTTTTACATTGTGAAGGAGCTAGCCTCACGAATAACCTGTAAAACACACAGGAAGGTGTTGACTGATATGTGTCTGGCCTCTACCCTCGGACCTGACTGACTTGGATGACCCTACTCAGTATAGCTCTTTGGGTCATTGAGGCACGCAAGCCTCTCCACCTTGGCTGAATGAGGGTTTCAGCCAAGAAGTGAAGAACTCGGTACTCCCATCAAATTCAAAGTCTAATACCGTTTGCAGTTAATTATCAAAAAACCTCTGTGCAATGCCAGGGGAAAATAAGGTTGCTTATTAGGGCAACCACAGCCCGATCCCTCACCACTCGGTCGAGGATGCCAGCCCCGTCCTTTGCGACTCTTTGGACCAAAACAAATTAAATGAACACATCAGTTCTACATCATGTGGACTGGAAAATTGTAAAAGGCCTTCTCATGTCGGACAGTTTTTTTTAAACTAGTATATCATCTATTTACAACGGGCCAGATATTACTAAAATAAATAAACGTCATTATAAAAAGTAAATTTTGACTACATTATCATCATCACTTTAATTCATTCTACATTACCAGGTAGATTGGTCTTATAAGAATGGACCCGTCTGGAAAGAACGTCGACGATGCGTTGCGGAATTTTGTTGTCGGTAAACTTAGAAGATAAGATCAACGAAAAAAAAAAATGTCTAGAAGGTTTACGTGGCGAGTATCAGTATCGAAATCATTAAATTTTCGGTACACCATGTATAAGAATATGGTTTTTGAGAAGACCAGTGCTTTACTTTAAAAACCATATTCTTACACATGGTTTACCGAAAGTTTAATTATTTTGTTATCAGCGAAGAAGCAAAATCAAAACAAAAGCTGCAGTCTCATTTAACCTAATTCATGTTGTTTCTCACATCATCTGCTTCATTAGTTTTGGAGAAAGGTTTGATTATGCAGGTTGAACATTCGAATTCTTGTTTTTACAGTTAAACGAATTGTTTCCCTCACCTGGTCTTGTTTCTGCTGCTAGCCTCTTTCCATTCCTATGGAATACACAGTACAAAGCTAAAGAATGGCAACTCTACAAAACCATCAAAACTTTCGTTGTTGAATTTGTCAACCGTTATAAGACATACACACAGCAAACACAAAACATAATCATACCGTTCGCGAAAGGTGGTAGGTTGGGCCTTATACTAGAAAAAGACATAATTATACAAAGTTGTAGCAATTGTATTACAAGTACGTATTTATGTTCTACAAAACCAGGCATTAATAGGTATCCGTTGTCTAGAAATAGCTTGTTTTATTTTTTTCTTTAATACAAACACTCTTGTATGCCTTTTAAAAGAGGCTTGAGGTTGCAGTTTGGAGACCCACCAGAGGCACATTTTTTTCTTTTCATCTTTTTCTACAATGATAATACCGTTCTAAAACGTCTCGGAACAGCCTAAATTAATGGCTAAAAATTATCCAGTTTCTATAGCTTGCCCATGAACCAACCACTTCTACCCATGACCTAATATGCCTGCTGGCTTCTGCCACAAGGCGTTTCGCCCCTTGTCGAACAGATTTTGTTTCACATATCAGAGCTAAGCCACTTGACAGCCCATGTACAATATCATAATAGCATGAAGCGTAATATTGCCCCGGAAGAAAATACAATTATTGGCAATTTGGCTACCCGACCGTATTGTTCAAACTAGGCCAAAGGTTTATACATGGGCACTGTTACATCAAGACAAACACAATGACGCTACCAATTGTAGAAGTGCTCGCACAACTGAGCCTACAAATACTCCTCGTAGGTTCCCTGTTATTGCTTTTAATTCGCATTATTGGATCCCCACGGAATCTGCCACCAGGGCCACTTGGTTTTCCAATTGTAGGCGCCATACCAAGATTGGGTAAAGAATTATATCTGAAATTTACAGAGTGGTCTCGAGAATACGGTAATATTTATAGCGTGAGACTTATAGGAAGAACTATAGTGGTTTTGAATGACATAGAAGTGGCCAAGGAAGCTTTTGTGAAACATGCTAATCATTGCTCCGATCGTCCTCATTTACCAAATGTTAGAATTGGGCTGACGGTTCCAGGTAGGAAATTTCACATCTTAAAATGCAGAGTTTGGAACATACCAGGCAGGTATTTGTGCCGTTCGGTAATAAAATTTTGTCGAACCACATAGGCAATGACCATATCTAGCTTTATGAAAAATGCAAATAGGAATCCGGTTAATTTCTGAAGAATTTTGACATATTATGATATGTCCCTTGAAAATTAGCTATCAATCAAAAACTCAATTTTGGAACTAATTTTCTTATTTTCAATTAAAATAAAAGTATCAACTTGTATAAGTTTAACCATAACTTTAACGCGTAACACTTCCAGTCACTGGAAGAGTTTTTATTAATTTTTATCTTTATACGGTATAAAAAAAATCAGGTAATTGTTTAAAATGTAATAATTTTTATGCTGTGAAATCATAATGTACCGATATGAAACATAGGCCAAGGACTTTTAAATCTTGTTTTTGGTTTACAATGGGAGGTGGGTGTGTTTTGTGTGAGTGAATATTATATTGCTTTAGTAGACTGTCACCCATTGTAATGCAGATGAACGTGCCAACGGCACAGTTTGTGAATAGGGTCAGCCTGGTTTGAACTTTGCAAGTAGAGCGAGTTTATGAAAGAAAATATATTGAAAAATAATAAGTATGTACCACTTTACTTGATACTCTAACTTAAGCTTGTTTGTAAGTGACACATTACACACATATTTTGTGCTCAAAACGTTCTGAAGGTCGCCGAAAGTCCATAAAACACAGAATTTTGACACGTTATTGGCCATAACTTCGCTAATACTTATCTGATTTTGCTTGGGAAAAATCAAATGTGTTTAAAAATTAATAATCTTTATAGCAATGCAAAAATTAAAAACTAATACGCCGTATTTTTTTCGGACTTTTTATTTGAACGCTACCACCTCGTGATTTTTTTCAGCGTGAAAACAGTAAAATCGGCTGAAATTACCCTGCTCTCTTGAATACAAATCTCTCTACAGGCGAAACCACTGGGTCGATTTCTACCGGGAAAACTCCATTCCAAAGCTTTCCTTATATCCAAAGATGAATTTGGTTGGAACGTACCATTTTCTGCGAGTCTCATTGCTTTATTCATGAACCTATGCAGGTGCAGATACGTAGGTTGTGTTGACCATTACACCTTTACTTTTATACATTTATTATACAATTAAATTTATTTTACATTTTCGATAATTATAATATATATATTTAATTTGTTTCACTCCCATTTTATAATGAACCGTTCCAACATAATTATTCGCTTCAGCGACGTCTGCGCCTGTGAACGGTTCGCTTGATGAACCGACAAACTTGGAAGGGATTTCAGGGCATTGAGCGCAGGAGTTGCTCTGATATGAAGAACATCTCCAGTTACGGTGCACTGTAAATTTCCAAATGATGTTAAACCCGACAGGGCTGCCCATACCTTTCCAATACTTCGTATTTTTCGTGTTGATGACTTAAAACAAGCAAATATTACACATATTGTTGATTTCATCGTCATAGTCTATAATAAAGATGATATTTTGGTTGAATTTATACACAGAACGATTTCTTTTGAAGATATATTTTATTTCTATGGTACAGTTCCATAGCATCAGATTTTGTATTTCACAACAGAGCTATGTCGTCTGCAAAGTCAGGGTGTCAGTGTTACAGATGGATGTTCTTAGGTTAGGTGCTTCTGTCAAAGTGAATCCCTGATTACGAGAACGTAGTCTCTGTAAATAGGAATAGCGTCAAAAACGTCTCTGTGAATTAGCACCCCAGTTGTGATGTTGAAAAACTCGGTATACCAATCAAATTCAAAGTCCCGTTTGCAGTTATCAAAAAGGGAGGGGATTGCGGTTATCTAAACAGGGGAAATAGGCGGGCTTAAGGCAACACAAGTCCGATCCCTCACCACTCCTCAAGCAGGCCGCTCAACGGCGGTGGAAGCGCGGAGGGCGGAGGGTGGGGGGGGGGGGAAGAAGCAGGCGGACATTGCCCCCCACACTTTTTCTACTGGACCCCCACCGGCTCCACTTTCAAAAACGTTCCCCCGCCCTTGCGGCCGCCCCTTCTGTTGCAACTGTTCGGACCAAAACAATTTAAATGAACACATCAATTCTACACCTTCTGGACAGGAAAATTGTTAAAGGCCTACTCCTGTTAGACAGTTTTTCCCCCCCTAGTATATAGGACTATCATCTAAACACAACTGGCTAGTTTTTATTCCAAAGATATTTACACGTCATTTAAATAAATCAATTTATGACTACATTATCCTTATTCAATTCAATTCATTCTACATTACCAGGTAGCTTGGTCTTTGAGAATGGACCAGTTTGGAAAGAACGTCGACGATGGGCGCTCGGAGCATTGCGGAATTTTGGTGTCGGCAATCGTAGTCTAGAAAATAAGATCAACGAAGAAGCAAGATATTTATGCCAAGAAATCGAGACAAAAGCCGAAGTCGCATTCGACCCATTTCATGTTGTCAACAATGCTGTTTCTAACATCGTCTGCTCCATCAGTTTTGGAGAAAGGTTTGATTATGCAGATTCAACATTCGAGTTCTTGCTTTTACAGTTAAAAGAATTGTTTGCGTCACTTGGTCTTGTTTCTGCGGCAAACTTCTTTCCGTTCTTATGGCATACACCGTACAAGGCTAAAGAAAGGCAACTCTACAAAACTATCAAAACGTTCGTTGTTGATATTGTCAACCGTCATAAGAAGACCTTTGATGCCAAGGACATCCGAGACATGATCGACCACTATATCAATGAGATAAATCAACAGAAAGAAAAACGAAATGAGATAGTTTTCAACCCAGACCTTATTTGGAGAGGGATTCAGGATCTGTTTCAGGCTGGAACAGAGACCACTACAACTACTATGAGGTGGATTATACTTTATATGTTACATTACCCAGAGGTCCAACGAAAGGTATGCCATTATAAAGAATATAAAAAAAAAATAAACTATAAATATACCTATTCAGTTAAGCATGTAACAATTAATACAGAACGTAATATTACCATTTTATCTTACTGCTACACCATCTAATTATATGATTTTTATCTCACTTTAATCAATTGTATATTATTTTCTAGGCACAGAAGGAAATCGAACGGGTTTTTGGTAGAGAGCGTACACCGAGTTGGGAGGATCGAAGTGAATTACCTTATGTTAGAGCTATGATCATGGAAATCCAACGATGTTCGACACCAACTCACAGCAACGTCCCAAGATGTACAAATGCTGAAATTATGCTTAAAGGCTATACGATACCTGCCAATACCCAGCTGCTTCTAAATGTTTGGGGTTTGCACCATGATCCAAATATGTGGGATGATCCTTATAAGTTCAATCCCATGAGACATATTGAGGATGATGGGAAGACCATTAAGAAAAATGATGCATTTTTACCGTTTGGAATAGGTTCGTAATCAAACATCAACCACATACTTGAAAAATAAAATTTTGCATTTATATTGCTTACTTTTGGATAGGCCTTATTGTCAGAACATTTATAGATATTTTGTCGTCAATTACCAGAACAATAATCAATATTATTCCTGTTTGCTATTTACTTATTTAGCATTACATTAACAACCACAATTAATACCGGTAACGAATAAAAATCAGAAAACAAACAAATCTCACAAAATAAAAAAAAATCCTTCAATTCGCTGCTAGTAATTTGAGGGGTTTCGTAGTATGAACCTGCAACAACGTGCCTGATGGGAAGAATAATTCAAAGAGCAATTCAATGTTATAAACAAAGGTTTTATGATTTCATCACATAGGCCAACATCTTAAAATATAGGTGCTGGTGGAAAAGTGATGTGAAGGGGTGCTTAAAGAAATGCTCGGCAATGCTTAAAAAGATAGAATTTTTTCCTTCAATGTCTTAAAAGATTTTCATTTTTACAACATTTGTTTTCTCCGGCGTCTGGCTTTCAAAATTACATTGGGCATAGCCCTACTACAACTCATTGATGTTGCGTTGCTTAACTTTCTAAGTAAACGAGAAGGAGGAGGGGGTGAGGTGGTTGGAAGAATTATTTGAGTAGTAATATAATTCTCAATTTATAACTGTGCATTATGATAGGCCTACTTGCTTTAATGTCTTTGTGTTTTCATCTGTTTCAAAACGTCTTTGTGTAGCCCCTCCCCATACATTCAGCAGTTCATTGATATGCATAGACATGACTATGTTCTACGTTTTTTTTTTACAATTATAGGTGACCGAGTTTGCATTGGTCAAAATCTGGCGAAGATGGAATTATTTCTTTTTACCGTTAATCTACTACAGCACTTCACCTTTAAAGTACCAGACGATCAGTCTCCACTCCCTCTCAATGACGTTATCGTCGGTGTACTGAGGAGTCCAAAGCCATTCTGCGTGTCTGCAATAAAATGCTAAGGCGTGTTTATTCACACACCATTTAAGGAACTTTTTAGTTGATGGGCAATGCCTGATACATGTATAA